ATATGCAAGCCCAGCCTCTACGAAATTGCTAATTATGATGAATATATTAAATTATATACAACTATTGTAACATTTTAGCTGATTCAGATAACATTTCTTCGTCATATTTGTCTAATGAAACCTTTTTCGTATTTTCATCATTAATTTCTTCTTCAGCCTTGTCTGGTAACCCAATAACTACATTCCCATCAAGTAGAATTTGGTTCATTAACCATAATCTTCTTTTTTCTTTAACTGACGTAGACAATTGTTTACTCACTATTTTATTGATTTTTGTTGCAGTTGCAAGCTCCTTCTTAAGGATATTGTGGATTTTTTTCAACTCTTCGAGGTCTTCAGTACTTTCGATATCTGTAGTGCTATCATTCTCTGGCTCAGCATAGCTTGAACTTATCGCCTTAGCAACCCTTTGGAGTTCATCGTTGTATTGCGACATGTGATCCAAAGACTCATTTTCCTCAATAGATGGCATGATCTCATCCTCGTTATTCTCTAAATACGCATGGTACCTGTCATTAGCCAATTTATATTGTTGTGTATTGAATGGTTGGTCATAAATAGCGTTAATACTATTGTCCTTATTCGCAAGGGTATTAACGAAGTTCTTGCTAAACCACCATGGGTTTCTTAAGTCGTAGTCTTGGTCTATAATCGACAAGTATTCATATTCGTCAAATTCATCGTTATCGGGGGTTATTGGTGCCATCTTTTCTTTTCTAATTCTTTCCTTAATCAATGCTAATGCATCTCGAGCCAGATGCAAATCGTGCACCCCTTTTACATGTTTTGCCAACGCATCTGAACGAGTGAAATGCTTTTCACATTCTGGAATTGGACAGAAATACGGCTTTTCACCCGTGTGTGTACGACAGTGGGATATCAACGCAAATCTAGAGGGTTGTTCCATTGCATACCGCGAGCAACCTTCCCAATGACAAGTATATCGAACAGGTGTATTTGGACTCAAATGTGCTATGTGTGCCAAATGGGTGGTACTTAGATGCGTAACTAGCGATGTAAGCGTAGGATAGTTTCTCTTCTTACAGTCAACCCATTTACAAACGAACATGTTATTATCTTTCTTCTTCTTACTGTTGGTATTAGTATTGGCATTGGTGTCATCATTTGTATTCTTAGAGGTTGACTTTTCTTCATGTTCATGTTCGTGTTCACCATCCACCTCAACATTCTTGTCCTCTTGCAGTTCTAAAATCATCGAATCATTATCATTGGCGGGTATATCTTCTTCTTTTTCTACCTTTATATCCGACATTGTTTGTTTTAAAATTAATCTATAGTCTAATATTTCACTAACATCAACTATTTGGTTAATATTCCTCGCGTTCGAGTTTTGTGTGGTAACCAATTTACAGTTATCATTATCATTATTATCCAGTATTATACCGATTATACTAATTATTTATATTATGAATGTACTAGTCAAGAGAACACATAACCCAATCTACAGGGTTACATCTATTTAAAAATGTGCAAAAGTAATTTAAACCAAATCTTCATCTAATCTAGCAGCCGGATTTGTTTCGACAAAATCTAAGGAAACCTTATGACCTACTAATTCCCTAATGTTAGAAACACCGTACTTGATCATGGTAGGTCTTTCTAAAGACAAACCCCAACCTAAAACTCTCATATTCTTTGGTAAGCCCATAGGCTCTAACATTTCTGGTCTGAACATACCAGAGTTACCAATTTCAACCCATTTACCTAATCCTTTGTGGTAAGCAAAAATTTCCAAGGAAGGTTCGGTATATGGGTTGTATGCAGCTTTAAATCTTAAACCATTAACACCCATCTTGGAAAAGAAGTCTTCCATGAAACCAATCAAATCACCTAAAGTGATGTCGTAACCGGCCATGACACCTTCAACTTGACAAAATTCTGCTAAATGGGTGGCATCGACAGCTTCGTTACGGAAAACTTTGTCGATGGAGAATAATCTGGTTGGTTTTGGGTCTTTGGCTAATTTATGCAACATAGCAGCCGAAATAGCGGTAGTATGAGTTCTTAAAACCATTCTTAACGATTCTTCTTCTTTCCATGGGTATCTGTAACCAATGGATCCGAATTTACCTTCTTCATGTACTTGTCTAATGTTTTCCCAGTACTCCTTATCTTCAGGCTTACCAGCCTTGACTGGATCCTTCAAGTAGAAAGTATCCTGCAAGTCACGAGCAGGATGTTGTTGAGGAACGAACAAGGTATCGAAGTTCCAGAACCCGGTTTCGACATATTGGTTCGAAGGCATTTCGGAGAAACCCATCGAGAAGAAAATTTGTCTAAACTCTTCCTTGACCTTGTTCAATGGATGGAGAGCACCCGAGTTTGGGTAGACACCTTCGGAATTGAAGTTGTATGGTTTGAATTGAGCTTCCTTCCACTTTCCACTGGTGATCATGTCTGATGTGATATCGGTTTCCAATGTCACAATTTCCAATCCGAATTTCGCAGCTTTGGTAACGCTGAAACCTACAATCTTTGTCAAAGTGATCAACTTTCTCTTCTTCAACTCGGTCAATTCCTTCTTGTCGTCCAATGTGCCTGTTTCTTTGATTGTCTTTAACTGGCTCACAGCAGTGTCTTCCGGCAACTTGTCCACCTTAGACACTAATTTATCGTCGTTTTTCGAAATCCAACCGTTCTTGAACGCCTTACCCTGACCCAACTTTCCAACTTGCCCTAATTTGGCATTAACGTCCGAAATCTTCAACCCGTCGAGCGACTTCATCACCTCTTCCAACAATCTAATCTCGTGCGATCCAGCCTCGAGAAACTCCTCTGCTTCCTTGGTCAAAATCCACTTATCCGTTTCGAGTTTCTTGAAATTAATCATCTCCTTTGCCCAGAGCGACGTCAAGTTCGAATGGAGCGTATTAGGATCGAGCTTTGCAAATTCCGGAACTGCTAAAGTGCTTTCTATCCCATCATGGTCATTAACTGACTTCAATATCTGCAACTGTAAGTCTGACATATTTATTGACTCTTATATATATCCTGCGTGTGCTGTAAATGTGCTCTAACCGCTCGGTATGTCGATGCCTTCGCTATATATTTCTGGGTATTAATTGTGAATCATTTTCAACACTTTTGTGTAATTTTCCCGATTTTCGAATTTTTCACCAAACCTGCAAATCGTGGAACATCCGCAACGGTGTTCCCACGTTAACTATGAAGGTCATACGTTCGGTGTCCCGGACTAAGTAAATAAGGTACCCGAAGGATGTATGCAAAAAACATGACATTTTGGTAGCAAGGTTGCCAGATGGAATGATCAAATTACAGCCAAATTTTGGTAGTACGGCTGAGCAATGTTGTTTCAGGAACCAATTCGAGCAATAAGAGAACCATGCGAGCAATGTGATCAATACGACGAACAATATAAAAGCGTAGGATATTCCGATGTAGATATAAATGGATTCGTAGATATTTTCAGATTCGTTTAATTGATAATTGCAGTAAATAATTGACAAAACAGAAATTATTTACATTTGAATTTTAGCTTTGGTATAATCGAATTGATATAATAAAGAGACACTACAATATTTATTATGGCTTTTACTTGTTCTGATATAATTAAGATCATTATTGCAATCATCTTGCCTCCATTGGGAGTTTTCCTTGAAAGAGGATGTGCATCTTCATTCTGGATAAATATTATTTTGACGATTTTGGGTTATATTCCTGGTATTATCCATGCGTTGTACGTGATATTGAAGTATTGAGGCCCGGAGAGAGATGATTTAAGGGTGAATGCTTGACTGGTGGTTTTTTTTTTTGGTGGTTGGTGCATGCGAAGATTGCGATGCCATGATTGCGATGCTTTGCTGTGCGTCGACAGTCTGCTAGAAGCTCGAACGGTAACGACAGGCGTCGTTATGTCTGTTTATATATGTATAGATTCTACAGAATTAATGGATTGTTTTATTGATTTACATTGACTTTCAAATATTGTATATTGTAGGCCGTAACCGAGATTTCGATGTGGCGAAAAATTTATAAAAAAATTAATTTTAGATTAAATAAATTCTAAGTGGGCTTAGAAGTTAATTGGCTTGTCGAAAGTGGCTAAAGCAGCTTCCTTGAATGCTTCGGATAAGGTTGGGTGAGCATGACAGGTTCTGGCGACGTCTTCAGTAGAAGCACCGTATTCTAAGGCCAAACCGGCTTCAGCGATCATTTCACCGGCGTTACTACCGATGATGTGGACACCCAAGACACGTTGAGTTTCGGCATCAGCAATGAACTTGACGAAACCATCGGTGTCTAAGTTGGTCTTAGCTCTGGAGTTAGCAATGAATGGGAATTTACCGACCTTGTATTTGATTCCTTGTTCCTTCAATTGTTCTTCGTTGGCACCAACCCATGCGACTTCTGGATGGGTGTACATAACAGAAGGAATGTTGGCGTAGTTAACGTGACCGTGACCGTTCTTGATGTATTCAGCAGCAGCAATACCTTCTTCTTCAGCCTTATGGGCTAACATAGGACCGTAGGTAACATCACCAATAACTCTGATGTGTTCGTGCTTGGTTCTGAATTGGTTGTCAATAACCAATCTTCCCTTGTCATCAGCTTCTAAGCCAATCTTATCGAAGTTCAATCCCTTAGTGTATGGTCTTCTACCAATAGCAACTAATAAGACATCAGCGTCTAATTCTTCCTTTTTACCGGACTTGACATCTTCAACTTCAATCTTGACGGTTTCACCTTCTCTGACACCCTTGGTGACCTTTGTACCTAACTTGAATTTTAATCCTTGCTTGGCTAACAACTTTTGAGATTGTTTGGCGACTTCACCGTCCATACCAGCACCAATGGCGTTTTGGAATTCAATAACGGTAACTTCAGAACCTAATCTGGACCACACAGAAGCCATTTCTAAACCAATGATACCACCACCAATGATAGATAACTTCTTTGGGATTTCCTTTAAGGCTAAAGCACCAGTGGAAGAAACAATTCTTTCTTCATCGATTTCGATACCTGGGAATGGAGTTGGTTCGGAACCAGTGGCAACAACAATGTTCTTAGCCTTGATTTGAACGTCTTCAGAACCATCAATTGGCTTGACGTTGATATTATTTTCGTCGATAAATGACCCTTCACCCTTGAAGTAAGTAACACCGTTCTTCTTAAGCAACATTTCAACACCTCCGGTTAAACCCTTGACAGCCTTGTCCTTGGCGGCTTGTAAAGTGTCGATATTAATGGAAACATCTCCCGAAATTTCAATACCTCTGTGCTTGGAGTCATGTTGAATCTGATGGTATAAGTGGGAGTTGTTCAATAACGATTTGGATGGAATACAACCAACGTTCAAACAAGTACCACCTAAAGCACCTCTTTTTTCTATACATGCGGTCTTCAAGTTCAATTGGGCACTCTTGATGGCGGAAACGTAACCACCTGGACCACCACCAATCACGACGACATCGAATTCTTGCGTGGAAGCATGTCTGACAAATTGGGCAATTTTGATCGCCTTGTTGCTGAGACCTCTGAAACTACTGGAAGTTCTTAACATATTGGTTCTATTTGATATATGAATCTACTAGATATATTGAAGCTAATTGGCCTATATGGCCTTTAAAAATGAAATTATGGTTGATGTTGGTCCGAAGTTGACCGTTGCACGACCTCCCTATTAGTCCCGGGATACCCATTCTGACTCCGTCCTGACCACTGGGAACTCACGGATGGGTCTTTTGAACAGGTTTGTCAGCCTCATGATGCTGCTAAGAGTAAAAAATGGTGGCGGTGGAGACTCTGATCATCATCATTTTACTCCGATGCTGGTTTCTTACCATGAATCCAGAACCATGTCCGCAATGAGTCCGCAATGAGTCCGGGATGTCTTCTGGGAGAATACGGAGATGCAAAATCGTAGGTGATGAACACGGAAGTCACAGATCATCAGTAGGGGTCCTTTGCAACCTCAAGCGACAGAATATATACTATTTTTTATAAAGCCGTATTGCCGTAAGCTTAAGCCTAAGAAGGTAAGGTGATATTCGTGATTTGATGACTGCCGCAACTTAGATTTTTACCTATAGCTGCAAATTGTAAACAACTACAACCGATTCGTCACTGTCGACCCTTTAAAATCGATTTTAAGTTACCTGTTCATAATAATCTGTGCTTGCAACTTTAACACAAGGGTATATGCTGTTGCAATCTGCGACTATGAACCACAACCCAAATGTCGCGATTAACGAGCCTGTACCATCTCGAAGAGGTGAATGGTGTCACGAGGAATGATACGGTGTCTCAGTTTGCCTGCGGATCAACTGGCATCACTCCTATATGCTTGAGATACCGGTATGATGTAAATATACAACGGTTCGATGCCAGCAATTTGGATCGGCTGAAACCCGATCTTTAGCTTGTGTAATTGGTGATAATAGCCGCATTTTCTAGTTCATTGCTACGCTAAAAGCGCGTAATTCGTTCTACATCTCTACAGGGCCTAGCCCATATTTGCCTATATTTGCCCACCGTACAAAATACTATTTTTTCAGCTATCTACACCTAGATCTCAGGACCTAGTAAGGGGAGTACGTAGATTACAGGAGGGGATAGTATATTATCACCATATTTTTAGCACAAGAAAATATGCGTTATCAGAAGACATCACCCCTTTATACCTGTGCAACTTCCGAACAATGTTATCTCCATAAAGCTTATTTTGTGATTGTGAACAATAAATGATGTGCACTCAAAAGACTAAATACTGTCGGAATTTTATTGGCAAACTGTATTTTTGTGGCTGTATTGTACACCTAGGCTGGTTTCACGTTGCGTTGCGTATAAGACGGGAAACTCTATCAATCGTACATGTAAAATATAGTTTAATGTAGGTGTATTAGGAAATAAGAAAGCCACTTCACGTAATGGCCATAGAAACAGCCCTGATAGATGTATGACAATAGTATGACTAGAGTGATACTTGTGTTTGAATTGTGAGACATAGATATAAGGTTCTTTCCCACCAACTATTAACCCACAGTTAACCCTTCTTAATTGTACGACTTGCATCAAAGTATGATGCAAAATATTGCCGTAGTCATAAGAATATTTTATTCCTTTTTTATTGTTCGATTATATATATGTCTGTAGATGCTTTTTCAGAATGAATGCTATTGTTAGGCTATCAGTTCCAGATAATTGAATATCGAACAATAGCTGCGAATTAGGTAATATTTCCTTTTCAATAAACGGTTCTTTGACAGTTTGCTACTACATTAGTCAGGTAAAACTGCCTTGATACACACACATATATATATGTCTTTGGGTAGACAAGGATATTTTTTGTACTGGATATTTGAGGCTATTAGAAATAGTCAGTTCTTGGTTAACTATTTATTATTCGAACATAATTGCTCAGATAGATATGAACATATTCAATGTTGAAGATTCACTTGAAGAATTCGATATTCAGTATATGAAGGCATACAATCAGGTGTTGAATAAGTATCACGATTGTACCAATAGTGCCAGAAAGCTGAGGTCAAAGTCACTTTCCAGCAATAAGAAGGAGATCGCATCTCCTTTGCTTGATAAGCATACGAACAGATTTGATGGGGGCCGGGCTGGCACCTTTGAGTTCCTTAAAAATTCTCTGCAAAGCATATCACCTACTAGTAGAGTGACGTCTAAACCATTTGGTAAAATATCGAAGATGAGACCCCCATTGAAGCCATCAGTCACTATCGAATCGATTGATACGATATCGCAATCGATGAAGCCTAAGCATCTTTCTTCCCCTACCTCACCAAAATTCCGTGAAAGCAAGTGCACTTCAGGGGTAGCATCATTCAACAGTTATGTTGGTAACCCTTTCTACAAACCTTCCAACACCCGGGGAATAAAATCAATGCCGTCTATTCCTACGTTCTCTTCATTTAATTTTAGCTTGGATAATACATCTCAATCGAGCAATTTTCAAGATGTTCCAAGTATATGTCACAAGAAGCGTAAAGTTTCTACTGAGTCAGATATGCAACTTCTGGTTGACGAGGATGATCATCCGGACCCTTCCAGTTCTGATGCATCCTTATCGTCGTTTGATTCCATTTTATCGTTGAATGATGACCAGTTTAACAACTTTAACTTTGACTATTTCATGTCACAGGAAAATTCAGATATGTTTAGCATCGATGATAAGCTAATTTTTAAGGACTATTATCCATTTGAATAATTAAAGATATGACTAGTTACATCCTCCCTTTAGTCATATCTAATAATTTATTTCTGTACCATTATTTATGTTTATCGATAATCCCTTGTATTATTACATATCACGATCTTAACGAATTAACTTAATATTTCTCTTCTTATTCAAAAAATAACTTACCTCCAACTTAATACTGAGTTACTAATAAATATATATTCCGTACGTATGCTATATCCCAACTCAAATTAGCTTCCTCTCACTCCTAGTGAATATGTCTAATTTATATATCACCAATCAATGGCTTCAATGCTATTGGCAATAGTTCTGCTGCATCGCCTTGGAATCCCCATGTATCCATTTCTTCTCCATGTAAAACTTCTTCTTCGATATCAGTATTAAATATCGCAACTTTTCCCCCTTTTAATTTAATTCTATCAACGTAACTGTTGGCTGGATATACGGTACCACTTGTCCCTATTACTAAAATTAAGTCTATTTTATCCAGTTCTATAAAATTATCTATCTTGTCGATTGTTTGAAGTGGTAAAGACTCCCCAAACCAAACTACTCCAGGACGTAATAATGATCCATCTTCACACACAGGGCATTGAGGTAATTCTTCTTCTGGTATTTGCTTAACTGGTTCAAACTGGGGTGATAGCTTATTGACTTCTTCTTCTTCAATAATTTTCCTCTTTCTGCCGCTTTTATCATATTCAAATTCCGTATCAGCTAATGCTTTAGTTAATGGGTTCGTGAAATTGTCATGGTCAACGTAATTACACATAAAACTAGTACATCGCAAATCAAATAATGATCCATGTATTTCATGCAATTGTTCTTTGGGGTGTCCAGCTCGTATCAGTAGTCCATCCACATTTTGAGTTATTGTGATAAATTCTATATTATTCAATTTTGATAATTTTGCTAATGCTATATGTCCTTTATTCGGCTTAGCTTTCAATGCATTTATTCTTCTCCAAGAATAAAACTGCCATACCAATCCTGGATCTATATAAAATGCATCAGGCGTTGCTAAGTCAATCATATTAAAATTCTTCCAAAGACCTTGTGATCCTCTAAAAGTAGGCAAACCGGAGGATACAGACAACCCGGCTCCAACCAACGCCACTATTCGCTTAGAATTCATCAAATGCTCTTGAAATTCAATTAATTGCTTACTCATGACGGTCAATGTGATGCATAAATCTATCTTAGGAAGAATGATTGAATGATAAGATTGTGAATATATTTTTGAACTGTATCGTTAATCAGTATGCGCGAGACTCGATAATAAATTTACTATTAAAATCAATTATTTATACAAACTATTTAAATATACACTAATGTTCTTGTTTTAACTTCCAAGCAATATACTGAGCAGAATGACCTAAATCGGTTATATCATTACTGAGAATTCTATTAGAAACAGATAATGGAGGCGCTCTATACCAAACAATTTCATTTCCAGAAACTTCCTCCATGGCTTCCAATTTTCTTCTTTTAATGTTTAACGCATCACTAACTCTAGATAATTTATTCCCTTCATCAACAAGGGAGTATGAAAGAATGCCCCCCGTTATTAAATTAGAATACGTTGAAGTGGAAGTATGGTAAGATGGTCCTGAATGTTGGGATGAAAGAGGAATGGTCGAAGCAGTTGGGGTAAAACCTCTTCTAGACTCAACTCTATGTGCAGCCTTTTCATGTTGGGTTTGTTGGAGTTGCTGTTGTTGTTGTTGAAGAAGTTGTCTGTATCTATTGACACTTGAGGTATAAGACTTATCTAGATCTGATTCTTGCAAATTGTTAGCAATAATATTTGAATTGTATTGAATCGGAGTGCTTATACCGCTGTTATTTCCACTGAAGCTTGCTGGGAAGGAATTAGCCATCTTCATTTGCAGGATCGGGGTAAAGATATAAGCCTTACGATTAGACATGTTTTCATCATTTTCAGGACTTGGAATAACATTAGGACTGGTGGAATATTGACCTAATTCATCATCTTCAATTGGTTCTCTCAAGTAAACCAGGCCCACGATAGGTGGTGTGTTTGGGTTTGGCCCTGGTGTCGCATCAGGGATAGCCATTGTAGTATCAACTCCGTTTGGTAGTAAGTTCTTAATCGGAGATTCAAACTTGATCAATTTACGTGGTTCATTTAATGGAATTAAAGGCTGTTCAGGTTTATCTCTTATTTCATCAGGCAAACATGCTTTCCAAGTTCTAATACGGTTAAAAACATGAGAATTTTCGTTATACCTAAATTCACAAATAAACCATGGACAGCCGTCTGGGATCACTCCTTCAGGCAAATCACCCTTCTGATAACGAGTCAAGAAAATGACATAACATGGTCCAACTATCTCAGAAGCCAAATGATCACGGTATTGACCAGTTTTACAAACCTCATTCATAAAAAACAATCTATCATATCTATGACAGGTTTGTTCTGGACGATAATACCAGCAAACATTAGTATACTTTGTTCCATCCTCAGTGGACCACAAACGGAAAATTTGACCAACGGTTGGCTTATTAGGATCGCTAGGATTATCAATAAGAACCCAATCACCAATTTTGTAGCTATATCCATTTATATCAATTGAATCCAATGGGATTCTAATGATACCATCACCACCAGGAGTACTCGCGATCAATAAATCTTTCTCCGGTCTCAGCAATTCGTAATTTATTACGTTATTTGCTTCTGATTCAAAAAGAAGACAATCTTGAAACGTTGGAGATAACTGATCATTGGAGAAATAGAATTTAGTGTTTTGAAACATTAAATTTAAATCGCCTATAAATTCATCAACATTATGATATTTTCTGGTTCTAACCTTAGTTCTGATTTCATTCAAACTAATTGGATGTTTAATAACTTGATAATAATTAGAGTTGGTCTTTGGGTCAGGTAACCGGTCGAAATGAATCGACAATGGGTGGTTTGGGTCATTAGGATGGCGCAATTTTTTAAAGTGTTTCAAGATTAATTTGATACGCGTTTCATATGGCTTGTCGATTATAGGTGGACGTCCTCTTCTGATCCCCGATTCCAACGGTCTGGAAGTTTGAGGTGATTGAAATGGCGATGGTGATTGGTCTCCCATCTGTAGTTTATTGGTCAAGGCATTGTTAGCTAATAACGCGTGGTAATGGTGATCGTTTGGCTGGGTGTACGAGCTCTTCAAGGATGATTGACCGCCAGAACCATATTCAGTATATTCTTCATCTTCTTCTTCGTCGTCGTCCTCACCATCATCTTCCTCTTCTTGATATTGAGGATTAGGTTTATACGTTGCGCCGGCGTTAGGAATAGACCCATCATCTTCAGGCAAAGGACCCAAGTCTGGGTAATAAATCATGTTATGATCGCTAATTGATTTATCATTAGCTAGCTTTGGTATAACCTTATCCAAGATGTATTGGTTTAAGATTAATGCATGGTCGTAAATAAATGAAGTCCTTACATTATATAACCTAGCATTCCATGTTATTTGAACCAACTGTGTGACAAACTCTTGTGCTGTTCGATAGACATGCTTTTTAATATATCTTCCAACGCCGTGTAATGATACAGGGACTTTAATGATTTTATAATAATCGGTACCAGTACGTAATGGCAATCTCTGGAATGTCTCTGAGATCTCCCTTCCTTCAGAATCTTTCAACGAATATATCCCATCATATAAAGATTGGAGCTTAGTCGCCAACTTTTTTCTTTCTTTTTCACTTGACATGACCTTTATTCTACTAAGTTCTGAGGATATATTTTGGCTCTTTGTTGATATCTGGCTTGCGGTGTTTAACGGTTCGCGATCGAATTAAAAAATGTTTTTTATGGTACTGTATATAATCAACCATTATAAGTAGGCCTAGCAATATGTCTAAACGAATGGTCAAGACTGTTAATTCAACCGCCGTTAAGATAAACGTGTAGAGAGATAGATGTGTCGAGTGCTGTTTAGTCTGCCGTAAACCTGTAGAAATTTATTAAAAAGTAGCTATTTTTTTGTTTTTTTACAGAATTTGGTAAATTATCATAACTATAGTAGACGAAACGAAAATTACAGTCTTAAGAAACAGCAGCAGCAGCAAAGAACGAAAAAGAACCGTGTTTAGTAGAACTTTTCTTACATTAGAATCATACTAATAAAAAAACTACAGCAGTAACTTATAATCCCAGATAACATAATAATTAAATATGTAAAAATATTTATGGTATAAATTTAAAGATTAATTAAACAGAAAAGAACTGAAGAGACCACCAAGAAAAATCTATATCTCATCTATGCGGAAGGATCACCGAAGATACCCCAATGCTGTTCCACATTTTCGGAACCTGGGTCTTTCCAGTAGTCATTATACATGGTGAACATGAATACTTGGTCAGAAAACTTGCTCATGATACTTTTGATAGCAGCAAGCTGGTTAGAAATAGAAGGCACACATGAACCATAGGTATTACCTTGAGTTGGCCAGCCTGTTTCAGTAATTAAAATGTTGCTTGAACCACATGCGCTCTCTAAGTTAGAGATCTGTTGTTGTAACCACGAACCGGAGTTGGAAGGAACAACACCCCCATCCCAATATGGATGTGCATTAACTGCAAGGTAATCAGAAATCTTACATAACCCAGGGTTGCTGACAGTTGCAACTAACGTATCAACAGTTACAACATATCCAGTGTAGTCTGAAGCATTAGTTGATAACCAACTTCTGGCAGTTTTAATGGCAGTTGCAAGGTCTGATACCGACGATTTTCCGTCGTTCACTCTTTCGTTACCGATAGAAATGGTATGAACAGCAGACCAACCACGAGTTGTGGCCTCGACGGCACTTTTTATGGTTTCTAAGCCGCTGGTAATGGTATTGGTATCAATTTCGTAAATTCCTAAGAATAATTCTTGTGAGGAGGTCATTGAAGCTAATATATTTTCAATTCCATTACAGTCAGTACTGTATAATCTGATTAATGAAAAACTTGATAATTTTGCAATATCGCTTTTAACCTCGCTAGCAGTTTTACAAGAACCACTTTTGGTATATGGTGAATAGGTAATACCTTTAGCACCTTTAGCAGCTGCTATATTATTTGCAAACGAACCTTCTGAATCTGAACCTGAGTCAGAGCTCGAGCTAGGAGATGTAATATCTGACGAACTTGATGCAGTAAAAATTGGAAATAAGGGAGAATCGGATGAGGAACTTGCAGTAGATAAGGTACTAGTTCCCACAACATTAGTGCCTACTGCTGATGTAGTAGTTGGACTTCCGAATAAACCACCTCCATTATTTGCTGATGAGGTGGTAGAAGTAGAACTTTGGCTATCGTCATTATCAAATAAACCTTCTAAGAACCCAAGCAAACCCCCTTTGCTCTTAGATTGGGTACTTGCAGCAACAGCAGCAGCAGTCGTTGCGGCTTGGGTAGTGGCAGCTTGTTGAGCAGTCTTTTTACCTGCTAAATAGTCTGCCAATGGTATCTGCACGGTGGTAACCTTGGTAACATATTGGACCATTCTTTTCTCAACACGTACATCGGAGTCAGCAGCGGACGCAGTGGCTATACTACCGATCAATGAAATTAAGACAGATTGCGATAATTTCATCTTTTATGACAGGAATCCAGGGTAATGCTATTATATGGTATCAATTGGATCCTAAAAGGGCTGATATTGCAAAATATTAAGTTATAAATAAATAATGATTCCTGATCACTTTTTTCTATCAATATTGTTGATAGTTATGTCTTCGAATATACGAAACGGTCTCTTTGCAACTCTTTCACAACCAATTTTCTAAATCAGATTTTGTTTTTTTTTAGAATGTTTCAAATTCCATGAATGAGTTTTGTTCGATTTTATTGTCATTATATATTCAACAATTCTATCGCCTGTAATGACTATGATTTCAATGCATCTTGAAATTATTGCAAGATTTCGAATTATTGTCTTTTCCTAATTAGGCGATCGGTTCGATATAAGTCCCTTTTAGGAAAATCATTAAATCACTTACATTGCCTATTTAGGAAATTATATAATTCATACACCGAAGGTTGTGAATTTCCCCATCCAACATGAGATTCTATTCTACCTGAGCCTTGAAAGTGATCCTCGTATGCCATAGAATAACACCATGCGAAATTTGTAAATAAGAAGAAAAAGTGGGGCCCAAACGAAGCCTCCAATCTAATTCCTCAAATAGGCATTTTTTGGGGCCATATGTCTTTTAGATGTATTTATTTAAGTTTGCAAAAAAATATCACAGGCTGTCTAATAACATAAGCTTAGTTAAGTGCCGATAAAAAGGGGAGGTTGTATATTACTGAAGTCGTTAATTTGAAATGATGGATCTTGTGATATAGTTGTTAGTCCTAGCGATAAAAGTACTACCTGTGAGAAAATAGGATGCTCCTTTTTTACGAGTTCAAAGGCTCATATGATTTACAAAGGTGGGGCAAGATATAATCAACATCTCTATTATCAATACAATTAATAGATCGTTGAGTTAGCATATGATGAGACACAGAGCTCAAAAGTCTTTGTAATATAGATGCTGATGTTAACCAGTAGAAGCTTTAGAATATAGACCGTTTATATTTATTAATAGGTTTAATACCTATACCACATATATAGTATATTAGCATTTCAGTCAGAAACTAGAATGCAAAGCTTTGTGAGTTACATGAGGAGTATGCGAATTATGTATGTTCAAGTCTGATAGTAGAATCTGGGAAGGTATTTGATTGAGTAATTGTTCTAGCAATTTTAATATCTAACGAAATATTTTAAGGATATACCAGAAGCATACGAGCGTGAAAATGAATGCAGCCCAGAATAGCCATTTATCTTGTTTAGCTCGTTTTTCGATTGTACGAATTGTTCCTTGACTGACTCCCAAGGTGACAAGTCCCTCTTCAAACTTACCTTGGAGCTTTCTTAAAGTTTCATTCTGTTCGACGATATCTTCGAATGCCTGTTGTCCCATATCTAAAATGTGATCTAATTGCTGTGTACCCCTAGCTAATGATGTTCTTTCCTTATATAAGCCTTCTTGGTAAGACATTTGCTGCTGTTGCTGCTGTTGAGTTGTACCAGTGTCATATGGATTTTCACCGTATTGTTGTCGTTGTGTGGTATGACGACGTCCTAATAATTCTTGTTTGTTTGTTTCTTGAAGTGCTTGATCTCTCTCTTTCTTTAAAGAGTCAAATTTGGAACTGAAATTCTGCAAGTCTTGATTGAACTTTTCTAACCTTGCTTCATGCTTTGCGTTACTTTCATCTTTTTTATTCTGCGCTACTAAATCATTATACTCTTTTATTGTCTTCTTGAATGCTGTTAATGATGTAGTTATGGATCCTTGTAACGATAATGGGGAAGTGGACAAATTTTTTTCAAAGGATGACAAATCTTTTGTTATCAATTGAGTTTGTTTGATCCCATGATTATATAATGAATTCATCGTTATTAATATGTATGTGATTTGATGTATTTATGGACGTGTTTGCTATAGCTATGTTGATATTCGATTTTTTTGTTACACAAAATTGGAATATCTTGCTTATAGCCTGATTATATGGTCAAACTGATAGGGATACAATCGGAGATATAGGAAGGTAATATTCATTACAGTGACTACACAGTGTTCGTCCACAAATTATCGTAACATTATCGTATAAACAGCTAACCAAAGAACCTTACAAATGCTAACATAAGAGCAAACGTACCAGACGAGACACCAATTAACCATTGCATGACCTGGGTTTTCACAGACTTGATTTGCATTTGCATATTGGCTATTTCTTCGTCAATACGCGTGTATGTATCTTCAATCTTCAGCTCGTGAATAGAACTTTCCTCTCTTATTCTACCCTTTTCCAAATTTAAGTCTAATCTAACACCTGCTTGACTTTTGGTTATATCTTCCTTCAATCTATTCTTTAAGTTTGTTAAATCAGTTCTTAAATTCTCTTGTTCCTTCTTAAGGTTACTGAATTCAGACTTGTCCATAGTTTGCAATTCACCTTTTAATTTAGCAAAATCCACTTTTTGTTGATATGCAGTAGATGATAATGTTTCTTTAGTAACAAGATTCCTAGTTATGGAATATATCCCGTCATTAATTGCCTTGTTTACTATATTCACTGCTGTTTCTGCTTGTTGTTCTGAAAACCCACCTTTCAGTTGTAATGATTGCACAAATTTCTTAGTATCAAACTTGGTTATAGACATCAAATTCCTTCTACCAAGTAATTGAGAGGGGCCTACAATCGGCCTTATAGAATATGGTTTAACTATCATGATATATTAAAAGTAATATGACTTCTGATTGTTTATTCCATCATTTTCTTTATTGATTAGATGTCATGATTTTGTAACACAAAAAATTATTCCTATACTAAAAAACAATTATATATGAAGAATAAGTGTTAGTCATGATTAGACACAATCTAAGGATTTCAAAGCAATTATACAGGTTCACAGAACTACGTAATGTTGGAGTTGGTATTAATGGTTTAAATTTTGTCAGATTTTATTCCGATGACAAATTTAAGTCAATCGAAGAATTTAAGAAACAAAAGAAAGACTATCGATTTGGACATAATTTCAGCAGTTTAGATGAACTTGATAATCAGAATCAAAAGCATTTCACTTCAGATAAGCATTCTGATTCATCTAACTTACACGAGAAGATTTCACAATCAAGATACAATCAGTTAAATGAGAATGATATCAACTCAATAATTGAGAATGATCCAAGATTAATTAACTTGAAGCCAGGGTCAGCGGAATACAAGTATCAGCAAGATTTGATCCATAGAGAATTTCAACAACGAGGTAAGAAAGAACAAGCCCGTTATGAATTCATTGAGAGATTTAAGGGCATCGGCTTAGGGATATTGGCACTCATTGGAATTGTATCTATCCATCAAATAGCTATGAATTATGAATACCTTAAAAATAAAATAACGCATAATTTCAATTATAAATTTGACGATTCTAAGATCAAGAGTATGGATGATCCTTCAATAAATAATAAAACAATTGACTATTTAACTAACAAATTGATTCGTGAATTGAGCAATGATATAATTGCGGATCTAGAAAAGCTGAATGAAGTCTCGGGGTTGTATGTCTTTGGTTCTCATAACAAACAGAAATTGCCATTTAGATTCAAATTCTTTGATGGTATGCTCATAAAGGATGTACAAATCTTTCAAGACTATTTGGCTGTAATCAATGAAAAAGGAGAATTGTATCAATACTATAAAGGTTTGAAAGAACCAGTATTGACTAAGTTAGGATCGAAGGTAACTAAATGTCAAATTTCTAATGATTTGGTATACTTATTGACGAAAAATGGTGAAGTTATTTATACTCCAAGAATGGATAAGTCTGTTCCTAAATTTGATCACTTGAAATCTAGGAGTCTTTTAGGAATTTCGTCAACCAAACCTTTCAATAAAATTGATTTCAGGAATGACTCTAAGCAAAACCTATTGCATAGAAACGAATCAATCAAAGATATTTCAACAGGTCAAAATCATATTTTGATGCTTTCAAGCAAAGGAAGATTATTTATAGCAAATACAGCATTGGACCCAAACAATTTTATGAACTATGGTCAATTTGGAATACCCGCCTTATCTCCATTTGGTGAAAATTCTGATCAAATTCCTAACAACCAGGCTTTTGAATTGACTTTATTAAATAATGAAGTTGTTTCCAATAAGGATGGCGCCAAATCCATTAGACCAAGAACTTTTGACAATATTGCTACAGGTAAATATCATAATATAGTTGCTGATACTGCTGGTAATATATGGTCATGGGGTAAAAACACCTTTGGTGAATGTGGATCTGAAATTAGTTACAAGACTGATTTCCAACCAGTTCCTAAGAAAATATTTACCATTGCGGACTTTCTTTCGTTCACGAAGAACACTTTACCGAATAAACTTGATACCCATAATTGGAGTGTCGAGAATGTGTATGCTGCTGATGAGACATCATACATTAAATTGAAATACAGCGATGAAAACAATGACGCTGAAAACCAGAGCGTATTGATAAGTTTTGGTAATGGTTTGAAGGGACAACTAGGCTCAAGTAGGTTTATGCATGTTTGTCCTCAGCCACAGGTTGTTAAATCGCTCAACAACTTGAGTGAATATAATGAATTTTTAGGAAAGGTGGTTGACATCGGAATTAAAGATGTTAGTATTGGTAATAACCATGGTTTCATTACTTTGGATAATACCGGTAACTACAAGGATGTTCTTACTTTTGGGGATAATGAATTTGGCCAATTTGGAAATGGTAAAGTTGCAAAAAGCAATAAACCAGTTAGGCTTCCGAAATTAATCGAACCAGAAGATTTCACTAATGCTGAATTAGAGAAAAATGATAAGAAATCACAGAAGAAATTAGTCAGAAAAATTAATGACATCACGACCAATAGGTTACAGTTATTGGATGGAGTAAAACTAGCTAATGGAGCGTCAGTCGAGCAAGTTATCTTTGCCGGCGATGATTCTTCCGTCATTTTCTACAAACGTAAATAATACTTTGAAAATATCTTGTGAATAAACTACTGTCTTGTTTTTATTAACGACAAATATATTACGAATATTCTATTAAAATTACAAAAGAAACAATCAAAAATTTAACCAGTTTAATGGCGCACTTAATTTAAACCAAACTCTTCGTTTAAGATCTTGATAGTCTCTTCAGGGTTTTTAACAGCGTGACCAATAGTTCTGCTATCGTTGTAAATTTCGTAATCGTTACCACCTTCGTAAGACTTGTCACCAAAGAAGTGAATCTTTTCAAAACCTTCTTCTTCAACGTGTTGTAAACAGTAAGTCTTATCCCAACCAGTTGGGAAAACATCAAACGAAATTTGACCACCGATAGAGTAAGTTAAACCCAAATCGGCAAAGTTTTCCTTCAAAGCATTGACTAACTTCGATCTGATGTTGTGTTCTTTGTCGTAAAGTTCGAATTGGTTTCTTTCAGCAGTTGAAGCGTTTCTACCAACTGGGGAAACATTAATCATACCATTTCTGAATTCAATGAAAGTACCTCTTCTAACTGGAATATCAATTTCAGATAAGTATCTTAAAATAAACTTAACCAATTTGTTGTATTTTTCGTCACCAATCCAGCCGATGAAGGATTGAGATGCTAATTCCTTACCTAACTTGTAAGCAGTCAAACCGTTTTCGGAGAAACAGTAATCGAAGTCATTTAAGACATTTGGTCCTAATTGTTCAACTTGCTTAGCTAAATCTGAACCACCGACGAAACCAATAACGACCTTTTCACGTAATTTTTGTAAGGTCTTTCTCATTTCTTCAGAGACAGTTAATCTAGCTGGGGTTAACGTACCGTCAACATCGAATAAGACTAAAGTTTTTGGGTCTTCCTTGTGAGCAAATGACATATTTAAAATTATATTAATTTTGAATCAAAGAACAAGATGTAAAGGAAAAAAAGAACATAATTATGTCCATATTTATATTAGCTGGCGTTTTCAACGCGTGGCATAAAATTTTCATTTTCCGCGTATAATAGAGTATCAGAATCGACATATAGTGCTACTGCAAGGGGAAACTTGATTGATAGACTGTGGTGGCTTAAGCTTTATCTTGCAAGAGATTAAAAAACGATACCCATGAGGCTGTATATCTAGTATTTTTGACTATTAATAGGCAAAAAGTAATCAATGGAACGACTACGTGTCCTTTAGAACTTGATTTACGATGCAAAGCTTGTGCAACATTGATTTACACTATGGCAAGATACCAAATAACAAAGGACTTGTATACTTCGGGCTATAATTGTATTGGATATTTTCGTGACCAATGTTCAGCCAAGATATGGACTTGAGTTACCATTGGGAATGAGTGAAAAATTTATTCTTATTTGGGACGTAAATATTCGTATATAACGATCGAAAAGTTGGGATATGGTGGTCTATTGGTCCAGTGGATAATTCATCCGGGAATTATTAAGTGGAATAATTTATTGAAAAATAATAGATAGAATGTTTAGCAGCCAATTTATAGTGTGGTGGTGAAATGGTTGCACTACCATCAATTTTGCAGATAAAATGAGAGATAACGGTTAGTACTGAATAGAACAGAATAACTCTAAAATCTATTAATGATGACATCTATGTACGTTTCAGGGAAAATAGTAATGATATTTTCTTTGATGACCCAATTGGTCAACTGATCCAGATACACCCATCCTTGTTTAATGAACTTCTGTCTGATGGCGAGAAAAGTACAAGAGTCTTTTTAGACACACCACTTTTGAAAATCAGGGATTTGAACCAGCCTGAAGTATTGCCTGTCCCAAAACATATAATTGATAAGTATTCAACATCGGTTTCAATTGGTAGTACTCCCGATTTACCAGCCCTTTAATATATCACTAATGCGATGGTAAAAGCTGAATTTCGAGAGATCAGTAGTGATGAATTCAAGAACAAGTATATTGTACCTCTCGATATTGCAATCAGGCAATTGACTATTTGTGATTTATTTTTGTCACCTAAATATTTGTATTTTGTATTGAAAATGTAAACAAAAAAGTTTCTTACACTATTTTTCCCTTCTAGAGGTCAGTAAAAATCAGGACATGCCTAGAATAATGTTAAATTATAAATAATTTTGGAGGATATTGTTCTCTTTCTGCAGCAGGCGGTATCTTCTGAGAACTTTGAAGGGTAATACTCCATATCAATTGCTATTCGTTCCATAAAGTAGCATAAAACTACCCTGTATATAATTGCCAAACAAAAATATGCATAAATTGTTGCAACAAAAATTTCCTGCACCCATTTACCGTTAAAACTCAATTACATTGGCAAACGTTTGCACTCCTTGTCAATTTTGCAGATACCTGCAACTAGGATTACGGGTGGCTTAATAATGGAAGCATCATATAATCCCCACGTTAATCTTGTACTCATTAATAAACATGTCACAGTAGCTTTGTCGTGAATAATGTTCCGTTGCTAAATTTGGAAAGTTATATAATTTAACAAATATTACCAAAGAGTTGGTGATATAATAATAGTTGACAAATTGGGTGTACTCCTAATTGAAACCGATGTTGAACATTTTTCTATTATATGTTGTGGGGAAATACCTAAGGCTGGTTTAAATCCCTGATTTTCAAAAGTGGAATATTTAAAAAGAATTTAGCGTTTTGTTCTTAATCGTGATCAAGTTTATTAAATAAGGATGAATATATCTGGATAAAATGATTATCAGGCACATCACAAAGCTCAAAGCTCAACACACTCTTTTGGAACAAGAGAGGCAACACCCCAGACAGCCCCCTTAGCTCCGTGTGACATAGCAAAGAAAGTTAAAGTATCTCATCCTTTGAATGCAGCAACCTTAACAGAAGGGTTGGTAAGGAGATCTGCAAGCTCTTTAGCATTACCAGAACACTTTACTGTTATTCATGCATTCTACCCCAGCCCTTCACAATTTGAGCACGATGGAATTCGAGAATCACACTTTGTTTTCCTGATACGGCATCTCTCACATGGTGGAAGTCTTCTTTAGCTGTTTGATCGACCTCAACCATGATGCTCACTACCTAGCGTGCATCAAGAAGAAACTACATGAAAATATAGTTCGAGTATACTTCCAAAAAACTCGAGACATCCGAGTTTTCGTCATAATGGGTTTGCGGGACTCATCTCCCATAATTTCGGGATTATTTCTTAACAGATACAATAGGACCAAGCTTTTAAGTACTATTCCTCGTAAAGCATGTAGAATTATATAAATATAGATTACTAAGAGTTATTCACTTAAGATTTTGCTAGAAAAGTTTTCTTCGACATCTTAGACAGAGGAGTGATTTAAATAGGAGTTAGATTATTGATCAACCCTACATTGATATACTCATTACATGGTATACCCTAAAGAAATAAAAAGGTTTTTTAGTCTTTGAATTTGCTGATAAGAAAGGCGAATTTCATAAGATGTACGTTTTATTTTAACTATACAGAGTATCTTGATCGATTGAAAAAGATATTCTAGTAAATAAAGATATACGGATACGGAATACCCCCGTTTTTATTTAATCCTTTTAATTTGATAGAGCCATTTAATTTTATATAATGAATTATGCGGTATTTCCATCAATTGGCCAAACAGCTTCTTCACCATAATTCCAGTGAACGGCTTTGGTTTGGGTATATTCCTTCAAACCTTCAATTCCTAATTCACGACCAAATCCAGATTGTTTCACACCTCCAAATGGAACTGCATTACTTAAAGCCATATAATTATTGCACCAAACGGTACCAGCACGGAGGGCATGTACCATACGCATGCATTGAGAAGCATTTTGTGAGAACACACCGGCAGCAAGACCATATTCTGTGTTGTTGGCCTTTTCAACAGCCTCTTCTTCAGTACTGAAGGTTTGAACAGTAAGAACAGGGCCAAAAATCTCTTCATCAACAATCTTCATACCAGGCTTGCAATCGGTGAAAATTGTTGGAGCGACATAATAACCGTTCTTTAATTGAGAAGGCAAATGAGCTAACCTCTTTTCACCACCTGTCAAAAGAGTGGCACCTTGTTCAATACCCGACTTAATGTACGATTGAATTTTTTCTTGCTGCTGTTTAGATACTTGTGGACCTTGGAAAGTCTTTACGTCAAATGGGTCACCAACTACGTGGGATTCAAAATTATTCTTGAGCTTTGCAAGGAAGTCATCCTTTATAGTATCTTGAAGAAATAAACGTGAACCAGCACAACAGTCTTGACCATGGTTGAAAAGAATAGCTTGACTAGCCCAGTTTACCGCTTGTTGAATATCAGCATTGTCAAACACAACTACTGGGGATTTACCTCCAAGTTCAAGAGTAACTTTTTTGAGGTTACTTTTAGCAGCAGCTTCCATAATAGTACGACCAGTAACGGTAGAACCAGTGAACGCAACTTTATCAATATCCATATGAGAGGAGATTGCTTTTCCAGCAACAGCTCCTACACCATTCACAATGTTAATAACACCAGGGGGAAAACCAGCTTGCACAGACAATTCAGCCAAAATAAGAGCACTCAAGGGGGTCTGTTCAGCTGGTTTCATGACAACAGTATTACCAGCTGCTAGCGCAGGGCCAACTTTCCAAGCGAACATCTGAATTGGATAGTTCCATGGAATAATTTGACCACAGACACCAATTGGTTCTGCCCTAGTGAATGCTAATTTTACACCTTCTTCTTGTTCGATAGTACGGCCTTCAATCTTATCAGCAAGACCAGCATAGTAGCGAAGACACCCAATACTATCTTTAATATCGATATCACAAGCCATCCATACCGGCTTACCATTATCAAGACTTTCAAGTTCAGCTAGAGTGTCGATATTAGCTTCTATCAAATCCGCCCATTTGTGAAGAGTTTCACTACGTTGTGATGGCGTACTTTTTTTACCCCAGGTAGTTTCAAAAGCTTTTCTGGCAGCCTTAACAGCATCATCGATATCCTCTGCAGTGGCAGCACTAATAGTGGCCAATGCTTCACCTGTGGCAGGATTTGGAGTAGTCAATTCATTTCCATTTTTGGCGGGTCTAAATTCGTTATTGATGAACAAACCTGTCTTGAAAGAAATACTACTACCAGTAGGAGTTTTGAGTGTAACTGACATTATTAGAGCAAAGAAATATAAAATAGTAACTGAAAAAACTTAATGAATAATTTGACGAGTCTGTATTTATATGATTCGCATTCTTTTGAACGTAGTGGGACGACGTGGAGTTCATGAACATGAAGGTTGCGCTTATCACAATCTATTCTGGTGTTATCATTCCCGAGCGAAAAAACGTTTGATCCCGTGAAAATTTCGGATATATACCGAAAAAAGATTATCTATTCGGAGATTTTCCGAAACATACACCTCTTATCAAATCTTGAAATGCGGAGGACCTCCGTATGGGCTATTTCTCCATGCTTTACTTCCCTTATAGATAAGCCGCCAGAACTCAATTTGACATCAATGGATTTAATTTCGAATATTAATTAATTTGTTTCAATTTGAAGAAATGAATCGTGCTACTACTTACGACGACAAGATCCATTGCATTGCTGATCTCGAGAATGAAGGTAATAAAAAGCTTGCACCAATGGTCCGCGATTTCTATAATGGAGGGTCAATGGATCTTAATACACTTAAGGAGAACAAATCTTCTTATGATCGTTACCGTTTAAGGCCACGAGTAATGGTAGACGTTACTGAAGTTGATACTAGTACTACTTGCTTAGGATCAAATGTTGCATTTCCATTGGGATTTTCTCCATCTGCGAATCATGGTCTAGCTCATCCCGATGCTGAGGGTGGTACGTCAAGAGCTGCTGCTAAGAAGAGAATTAATATGGTACTTTCAAGTTGGTCTAATACCTCTCCGAAAGTAGTAGCTGAACAGGGTAAAGACGCTGGTATTTCGTATGCGCAGCAATTGAGTGCAGTCAAGGATGAAGAGACGAATATGTCTATTATTCGTAATGCTGAAGAATTCGGCTACAAAGCGATTTTCTTAAGTGTTGATTGTCCCTGGTTAGGCAGAAGACTTAATGAGATGAAAAATACTTTTGCTTTACCTTCGCATTGTACTTTTCCCTGCTATCCATTTATTAATGGTGATAACATGGTGAGTGGTGATAATAGAACCCAATATGAAACTAACCTCACTTGGTCTTATATTAAAGATTTAAAAAAGAAGACCAAGTTGCAAATTTGGCTTAAGGGGATTCTTACTGCTGAAGATGCAGAATTGGCGGTTAATGCTGGGGCGGACGGCATTGTTGTGTCGAATCATGGTGGAAGACAACTTGATGGTGCCATGAGCACTTTGGATGCGTTACCAGAGGTCGTTCAAGCAGTCAGAGGCAGAATCCCGGTTCATATCGATGGAGGTATCAGAAGAGGTAGTGATATTTTCAAGGCTCTTGCTTTAGGTGCTGATTATTGCTGGGTGGGTCGTATTGCTCTCTGGGGACTTGCTTATAAAGGTGAAGAAGGTGTTTCCATTGCATTAAATATTTTGCATGATGAATTCAGTTTAGTTATGGCATTAATGGGCTGCACTACTGTCCAGGACATAAAGCCAGAACACCTAGCAAGGATGTCTGAAGATGGTAGACTCCACAAAGTAACACGCAGAGTTGAAGCTAAGTTATGAGCTATTAATGATATAGATATTGAATAGCCTTATTTTAATTATGTATGATTCATTTTACTTACTTTCAACTTGACTAAAACACAACATATTTATGATATATCGGATATGATTTATAAACGAAAAATACTATTTGTATGATATCTAGATTGATGGAAACAGTAAATATGTTTACAACACTTTGAGCTACATTTAAAATTTAATATAAGAAAATATATCTATATCGTTCTAACTTTCTTCCTAAATCAAAGGTCAAGATTCCTATATCGGGCTTTAATGACATAATATTATATTTATCATACATTTTATTTACTGTTAGATAGCTAGTTATTTATATTTTCTCTGTTCAAGAATTTCAGTAAACTTTTCGATATCTTCCTTTTCTAATGGAAGTGTTGGCAATCTCACAGGTCCAGCAGAGTGCCCAATAATATCAAGGCCTGCTTTAATACCAGCTGGATAGTTAACACCCTCCAAAAAATCACTTACTTTCCAAAGGAATTTCCATTGTTCTCTAGCCTTATCAAGGTTCTTTTCTTTTGTAAAAGTATTCCAAAGCTCAACACATTCCTTTGGAACAACAGATGCAACACCCCATACACCAGCTTGAGCCCCATGGGACATAGCAAAGAAAGTTAAAGTATCCCATCCATTAAATGCAGTGATCTTATCAGACGGGTTGGTAAGGAGGTCTGCAAGTTCCTTAGCATTACCAGAAGTGTCTTTCATATAATCAAAACCCTTGATTTCACCGAGTTGCCTAATTTGAGCTGCAGTAAGGTGAACACCAGTCGCGCCTGGTAAATTATAGTACATAACAGGTATTGAGATAGATCCACACACATCTTCATAAAACTTGTAAAGAGCCTTGAAAGAAAGCGGATCGTAGAAGGGAGGAACAATCATAATAGAAGCAGCACCGGCATTTTCAGAGAATTGTGCCATTTCGATTGCATGTTGTGTGCTGTTACTACCGAGACCTGCAATCACTGGAAATCTTCCATTTGCAGCATCAATGTAAGCCTTGATAACACTCTTGTGTTCTTCAGTTGTAAGAGCAGGAAATTCTCCAGTAGTACCAGTGGTTACAACACCATGGATACCAGCATCGACAAACCTTTCGACTTGCTTTGAAATATTTGAAATGTCAATTGCTTTACCATCAGCAGTGAGAGGCGTTGGAACAGCAGCGAAAATACCTTGAAGTTTGGTCATTATTGTATAAGATGTTATCCAGTTGTAGCTAATAAATGAATTGAATATGGTCTCTTTTAAATCTAATTGAAATCCTAGTCCTTATAGATAATCTCTTGGTGGGGCCAATATGTATCGGAGAGTTCCCGTGAAATATCGGTACTACCCCGAGGAGTTTAACTCGGGGAACTAGTAGTCTTGCACATAAATTATTAAAATACTGAAGCTTATCTTATTATCAAGATTACGAATAGTAAATACCCGACATTTGTCTTTTTTGACAATTATCGGATAATGTCCGAAAATTTATTCCAGTAAAGAGGGGGTGAAAAATGTCATGGGCCGAGCCAAGATGTTCGTTTATTGATAAAAATAAGTACCGTAGTTTGATTAGCGATATGTTATCTTCGGCCTTATTGCGAAGGTTCAAATTAAGGACAAAGATTATATAATTGTAATACGCTTAAGGTATTGCCCAACTTAACGAGATAAGAGAAGGAATTTAGCGGGGAGATAAATGGAAAGAGATAAAACGAAGACAAAACGCTAAAATATTGTCATAAGTCTACTCATCATTTATACATTATGTCACTATTAGAATCCGAAAAAAAAATGAAATCTCATATAACGATCAAATCAAAGGTTAGTACTGAAGATAACCTTGAAAATGGAACTATATTCGACGAGCAAGATCATAATGTATTCGTTGACAACGGTGAGGGACCAGATTTCAGAGGTGTTTCTTGTCTCGGCGCCGCAGTTTTGATCGCGAAAACCCAGTTTGGTTTAGGTGTTCTTGGTTTACCCCAAACTTTCGAAGTTTTGGGATTTGTACCTGGTTAATAAGTCTAATTGCCTTATGTGCCTTGAGTACATGGACAGGGCTCGTTATTGGCAAATTTCGTCTTTCTCATCCACAAGTTCACAGTATAGGAGATGCAGCTTACCTTATGTTTGGTAAGTATGCTCGTGAAGTCATGGGATTTGCATTTTGGCTCTTCTATACTCTTTGTTATGGAGCGGCTTTACTTACTGTTTCTATCGCATTCAATTCACTTACTGATCATGCCATTTGTACCACTGGTTGGATAGGCATTGGTGCTGCTATAGCTCTTATTATTGGACTTTTCACACGTACTATGAAAGTTTTGTCATGGTGTGGTTACGTTGCTGTAATATCGGTATTTACTGGTGTTTGGGTTGTTGCTATCGCCTGCTTAACTCAGAGTACCCCCTCCGCAGCCCCCAAATCAGAACCAGTTGATAAGATGATACAAGTTGTTGCTACTGGTGCATCCTATTCAGCTATTTCTGCTGCTGTTGCTACTCAATTGTTAAGTCTTTGCGGTACGGCTTCATTTTTTACAATTCATGCTGAAATGAGAGACCAAACTCAATATGTCAAGTCGCTTTTCATGGGCCAAGGGTTTGTCGTTTTTAATTATATTGTGATTAGTTGCATTGTTTATGGGAAAGTTGGGCAATATGTTGCATCGCCATCTCTTGGATCCGCTGGTATGTTGATTCAAAAGGTTGCGTACGGGATTTCATTTCCAGCACTTTTTTTCTCGTGCTTCTTCCAAGCACATATTGCTGCGAAGTACGCACTCGTTCGTATTTTAAGAGGTTCAGTGCATTTGCAAAGTAATTCTAAAACTCATTGGCTTACGTGGATCAGTATGATGAGTTTAGTCATTGGTGCGGGATTGGTTATAGCTGGATCTATTCCATTCTTTAATGATTTGTTAGGCTTGATCGGTGCTCTTCTTGGGACAATTTTCACACTTATAATTCCTGCTTTTATGGCTCTTTATGAATTAGGTGGAGGTGCCTATGAATCAACAGATATTGGGGTGAGATGGTTGAAAAAATCTCAAAAAGTGTGGGGAGAAAGTAAAAGAAACATATCCATTGTTTCGGTGGCCTTTTTCACAATTATTGCCGGTTGCTACATATGTATTTCAGGAGTATATGGATCTGTTACATCAATTGCTCAAGGTTACGCAGATGGCACTGTTGCAAGTGCATTTTCCTGTGCAGATAATAGTCGCTGAGACTACGAATATATAGTATTGTAAATATTAATATACTAATTTGTGCTTTATTACACGTAGATGGTCAATTATTTATATTATATAACAGTCCAATCTGTCTTTTAGTAAAGTAATTTTTGGGCAATTCTACGTTCTTAACTAAATAAAGGTTTCAAAAAAATTAATACTAATGAATTATCTATATAATTATATAGGGATATGTATTATTTGAAAATATTCTTCTTTAAGTACATTTCAATTTTGCCAATTTGCAAGCGACGAGCGATAATAAACCTGCAAGCCATCAATAAGTGATGGCTTGACAGGCTGCCATCCGAGTATCGATCGAGCTAAAGTTCCTCGAACAATGCTAGTACCAGATAATGCAATCTCGAATGGAGACACTGGTGTCTTATAACTATAGCTGTCGAGACCCGCAAGCTCAGCTACTCTAGATAAGAAAAGATCCACACTTTCTGTTGCAAAATTGCTACCTTCTAGTTTAAGGTGCTTGACTAGTGGATGCTTTTCAACGGCGAGACGGTAAAGTTCACCGAGATCATCAACGTGAACTGTAGCATAACGCCCCCCTGGTTCACCTGGCCATTCTATTTTCTTGTCAGTTACAGCTTGACTGAAAAGCATCCCTGGGACACTTCCACTTCTTCCATAAACTAAACCTGGGCGAATTACGATGCCATCAATTGCTTTACTGGAAACGATAATGTTTTCGACTTCTGGACGCCAGGAAACTTTTCCAGGAGCTCTGGTGGCCTCAGTTCCGTCAGTAACAATTTCCCAACGGTCATCACCATGTAGCCAAACGCCGGAGGTCCAAATATAGACCAATTTGGAAGCCGTTGGATGCCTTTCGGCTTGTTCAGCCTTTCTAATAATATTGATATTTTCTTTATCAATGGGGGCGCTACCACCAAGACAGTCTACTACCGCATCAATAGAGCCTAGGATGGAAGTCCATTTGTCGTCAGAAAATGGATCACTTTGCAATACTTCAATCTCGCGACTTTCCAATTTCTTAGCGCACTGCAAGGAGTTTCTTGTTTGACCTATAACTTGATGACCAGCACGTACCAATGCATCAGCTACGCTTGAGCCAATAAAACCCGTAGCTCCAAGAACTAAAACTTTCATGATTGTGTTTTATGATAAATAAGGAACAAAGGAATGGAATATGACATGTCTTTATAGATTTTTCATTACACTTCGGAATGAATCCGAGAAGATTCAACCTTCGGAAAGACTCCGAAAATGAATAATTTTAATTTAGGCTCCCGCTTCCACTTTCTGTAATAGGAAGTCTCTATATTTACATCATAATTATACTACCTAGTGGCTTTAGCTCTCCTTAACTTCTAAATACACTATAGGACTACTGATTTGGACACATACCAGAATCGGTAATTATGTTTAAGCAGCCACTCAGGTAGATGCTTAAGCTTGGGCTTTTCTGAATCCTTTCCACTGATATTTTACCCAAAAGATATATACAATAAATTAAACGAGTTGCAAGTTTTATATTTGCAAGATTGTTATCATATAGAGAATTGCTCGCTCGCATCAGGTAAGGGATATAGAAACCAGCGCTCTAATTCGGCACCCAAATTAGTATCAGACCAATCAGGTAATATACCTATATCACGAATTGGTTCTGCTTCAGCAGCGACGTTAGAAATAGCTGCTAATCTTTCCATACTAGGATCTTCATGCGCGGTGAAAGGTTGCATAGGATCACGGGAACTTGAAATCTCTTGGTTTGGTTTCCCTAAAGTCCTATTACTATCATTTGACAAACAACCCACTTGATTTGAAGAAACTGCATGATTCGTAGACCGGCGCCCCTTCGAAACAGTATATGCATTCGTATCAATTGGCAAATCAAGCATACCGTTATTGGTGGACGCATCAGTGTCATGCTCAGAGAAATGCTCATCTCCATAGCCATTAGACAAGCTTTCCCAGCCTTGCATATCAGTTTGCTGAAGAATAATCGAATAATCTTGAATAGGAATTGAAGTTCCTTCAATATTTGTTGGTCTTGGTATAGAAATATTATTTAATTTTGCAATCTGGCTCCAGATACATCCTTCTTGATTAGATTGATGTGGAAAAGAAGGAGCCATAGTAGTAATATTTTGGAGAACATTGGAGGAGATCATTTCAAAAGCATTTCTTATTCGTTCGTTAGCCCCAGCTTCCAAAGCCGACAATGTTTCAAGCATAGCAGTACAAGACTGAATTTGAAGAAAAATCTCAACAAATGATATACACAATTGGTGAGAATTTCGTCTTTCAGCAAGTTCTTTCAATGAATTAACAAATGTTAATCCACACATAAAGAGGTTCTGTACTGTGAGCCATGAAAAAACTGCCGAGCATTCCCTATGCATAACTTTAACTAGTTTCATGACCTCACCAGCTGAGTGAAAAGCAACATGTAATGCTTCGTTTGATAACTTGGGACGATTGGGAGATGGGCGGAAAAGTAAAACAACAGCAATATGAAATTGTAACTCAGTCCATTCTTTAGTTATTAATGGAGTAGGGAGAGAAAAGCTACTACGCCAAAGTCTTAGTTGGTCATACATCTGCCAACTCCAACTATTCATATCTTCATGAGGCAGCTTATTCTGATTATGAGCATATAGGCGTTTATGGATTTCGGATTGTAGTCGATATATACGAATTTGCTGAATTTGAGCAACTTTGAGATGACATATAGGACCTGATTCTATTCCATGTACAGTTACTAGCTTGTCCTCTACTAAAGCAGGAAATTCAGCAGATATCCAAGTATCCGGAATCCCTGTAGGTCTTCCCATCACTGTAGCGAGAATTCGATCTATGCAATAGCAAGTCCAAAAAACACGTCGACGGAGATCCAAAGTTAGAGGGTCATATTCTTGCGAGGGATTTGGCTCAGCATAGAGTCCCATTTCAGTTGCAAGTCTCATTGCAGATCCCGAAAGTTGCCACAAATTTCCAGCCTTGGGAACCAATAGAGTATATTGTAACAAAAGTAAAATGTTCTGAAGTTTTTTGATCCCAGAACCAAACAATAATCTACCACGAAGTTTTGTCGCTGATTTCCAAAAGTCATTTGCGATCCGCCCAATCTCAGAAGTAGACAGATGCGGCCGCCCGATTGAAACAAGAGAAATTGCTATGACCATGCTTACCTGAAAACGGTCAATTACAGAAACCTCTTTGTTTCTGTGGCGACATTTTTCTAGCTGAAGATGAAACATACATTCATGTAGTACGGGATGGGCACTATTCATCCATGTAAAATATCGTTTCGCCAATCGAGTAAGTATATTGTAATCATAAGCTGTTATATCGGTAACCCTATTTTTAGAGTTGATACGACGCACCTGTTTCAAAAAATCTCTCCCAAGCTTAGCAAGTGCCATGTTCTCCTTTTCAATAAATATTTCCCTTGCACTTTGTCCAGAAGATGGACTTGAATATTGTCGAATCTGACTATCAAGGTCATCACTGACATGCGTTGCAGCTCCTCCGGAAAAAGTAGTAGCAAGCAATGTGTCCATTGTACTTTGGATAGTTCCTTCGTCATCATTATCACTATTGTCAGCGTCTTCATTATCATGCTTACCATTATTCACAGATACTGACAGATCACTATAAGACCTGGACGGGCTCGATCGCTGCGGCGGTTGTGAAGGTGATGGAGACCTAGATATCGGTAATGGTACTTTTCCGTTCGAAATATCCTGATTTTGGCTATTTGATAATCTAGCTCGTTTAGACCTATGCTGCTCAGATTTTGGATATTGATCAAACAAACCGTGCTCTCCTTCAAATGCTCGAATACGCTCCTCCAAAGACCAAACATAACTTCTGGTAGCAGTTTTACCCAATACCTTATCTTTGTTCATACATTCCACTCCAGCCTTAACACAATTGGAACATGATGGGAGTTGTGAATCACACTTTGTCTTTCTGGTACGACATCTCTCACAAGCAGGGAGCCGTCGCCGGTTATTCTGGTTTTCTTCAGCCATTGGACTGAGAGGATAGCACACTTTGAAAAACACTAGTTTGTGTCAAGAAAAACCTTTATGATTAGTGAAGAATATAGACTTGAAGCGTATAATCGTTGAAGAACTCCAAGTTTCGCGATAATGGGGTTGCGGGACTCATCTCCCATAATTTCGGGATTATTTCTGAACAGATACGATAACATCACGCTTCACGAGCAATAATTTCTCCTATAACATAAAATACTACATAGATATATATACGCGAGACGGTTTCCGAAGAAAATGGGAGTTAAATTCCTAAATTTGCCAGAAATGTAAAAACTCCTCTCTATCCTTTGATATCTCAGACAATGCTACAATGAAGCTCGCATATAACGGTTGCAATTCCATTTAAGCTTACGAGTAGAAACCCCTTTATTGGCTTTAGGTTATTCGAATGTGCAACATCAATGCAAGCAATAATCAAATTTTACTAGTGATGGATGAGCGTATTTCTCAATTATGCTTATCTTCATACAAGAAGAGCTGTTATAACGGGCACATATATAATGTGAGACCCACAATATTGGATATGAACAAATAGAGATATAAGTATCTTACCTAAGAGAAAATATTCCAATATTAGGTGATATTGGATAGGATTATAAATCACTAGTGAGGGCAATACCAAAGAACCAAAGTTCATCGATATAAAAATAATTTAGTTAGTCATAGACCTGTTCATCACAAGTATATAGCAACTACAATATCATTTAAAGAAAGAATTTGAAGATTCACAAAATTAATTTAAGCTTGGTATTGCTTCAAGTTATCTTTTCCTTCTTGATTTAAGAACTTGACGTAAACACCGTATTTACTGCAAAATACTTATTATATATTATAACCAGCATATTTTGGTCCATATATGATTGCAGTCTGTAGAATAAGCTTTCGAAGTTGATATACAAACTACTGCAAATAAACATCGATTGATCAATTCGTAAGAGAAGAGGTATATCATATTCATATGTTAATATATATATTGCATTCGGGACTTATTATTCCGAATGCTGCAATTGTCCACGATTTGAAAAATAGTAGAAAGAGGAAAGAAATTTGAAAAGAAATCTCGAGAAAAGAGAACGGCGAATTCGGAACCTAACATAGAGTAGTTAAGATTAGTTATCAACTCAAGAGTAAACTAAAAAAAAATAGTAAAGCTAGTTAATTCTGTGTTGGAATAGATTCTTAGAATAATTAGAGGAACTATCTAATTTAGAATCACTTCCCTGAAAATGTCTCACAGCGAGGTGTAGAGTTCACCTTTCTAAGCATCGAGGAGGAAAGGAATAAACTATAGAAGTTTGATAAGATATTTTACAACCAGTTTTAGTGATTGAAATGGTTGCACTACCATATCAAGTCTGCAGATATTGAATTTCTAGAGAAGCAAATAATTATATTTCCATAATATTAATGATGACATCAATGTATTTTTCAGGGAAGAATAGCAATGATATCTTCTTTGATGACCCTGATAATCAATGCATCCAGATATATCCATCCTTATTTATTGAACTTGTGTCTGATGGCGAACAAAACACAAGGGTCTTTTTAGACACCCCACTTTTGAAAATCAGGGATTTGAACCAGCCTGAAGCATTGCCTGTCCCAAAACATATAATTGATAAGTATTCAGTATCGGTTTCAATTGGTAGTACTCCCGATTTACCAGTCCTTTATTATATCACTAATGCGATGGTAAAAGCTGAATTTCGAGAAATCAGTAGTGATGAATTCAAGAGAAGCTTCCTTGAACCATTTGAAATGACTATTAGGGGGACGAATTTCATTCAGAGGCAGTTGCTAAATGCTTATGAATACCCGAGAGCACCATCAAATAATGAAGAATGTATCCAAAAATACTTTAATGGGCGAATATTGACGCCAATAGAAAACGTTTACAAGTACACATACGGTCAACATCATGTATTTGGAGGACCTCTGATTATAAAGCCATCTTTTACTGATGTAAATAATTTACATTTCAAGCCTGATATAATTCATTTCCTGACGAATAAACTGGCTTCGTTGCATGAATTTCCTAATATTTATTTTGGGTTGGGTGATTACAAAATAGAAAGCTATTATTTATCGCAAGGATTTGAAGAATTGAAAGGAGCGATTAGTCTCTTCAAGAAGAGATTATCAAGTACTAGGTTATTGAGGAAGGCACCTCTTGTTTTTGAAAATGAAGCAGAGTGGTCTCCGGGGGTGGTGTTTGCATTAGTACTACGGAAATATTTGTACCAGGCTTTTCTCTGCGGCACCGATAGAGTATTGATCTCTGATCATCAAACCTTTTCTGGATTTTTT